TGCTTTATCCGTGCCAACCCGCTGCTGGGACTGGTGGATCCTGCCTGCTTTGTAGCCAGCAGCGGTGAGTGTCCCAATCAGAATGTCACCTTCTGGCTGTACTCCAAGTAGGTGCCTTTCATTGTTGCTCCAAGATTGAATGCATCGTTTGCTTCTGTACGCAGCGCCACACGCGATGCGCCCATCCAGTTGAATCCCGTCGATCTCAATCCCTGGGACTTTCAGCCGCCACGTCCACTCAAAATACTGATTCACGGCTATACGGGTCATCGGGATTTTGCACCCAATAATCACATACGTCCTGCCTTGCTGGACAACGTGGACGTCTATGTGATATCCATTGACTACGGTCCGCTGGTGCGTTATCCCTGCTATGTGCAGGCGGTGCGAAACCTGCCGCTGGTCAGCAAGTGTCTGGCGCAGCTCATCAACAATCTGCTGGAGCGTGGCATTGTGCAGCACGAGCTGGTCCACATCATTGGTTTCAGTCTGGGCGGCCAGGTGGCCGGGCAGACCTCCAACTATCTGAAGCGCAAGCCCAAACGCATCACGGGACTGGATCCGGCCAAGCCACTGTTCATACTGAGCAGCGAGTCGCGACGCCTGGATGCGAGTGATGCAGAGTTCGTGGATGTCATACACACGGATACGCTGGGGCGTGGCATGATGCGGCCCATGGGACATGTGGATTTCTATCCCAATTTCGGACCGTTGCAGCCTGGCTGCCTAGAGGAGAATCCCAACGATCCGGGCAGCTGCAATCACGAGCGTGCGTCACGCTTCTATGCCGAGTCCATCAATTCCACATTGGGTTTCTGGGGTCGCCAGTGCTCCAGCTGGCTAATCTACCTCTTTGGCCTGTGCTCCACCCGCGCCGCCCAAACCCTGATGGGCTACCCAGTCTCGGAGAACGTGACGGGCAACTACTTTCTCAAGGCAGGCAGTGCTCCGCCCTATGCCATGGGCAAGCCAGAGGAGCCGGACAATAGCAAATATGTGGCCAAGTTCCGATTGAGTGCCAAGCACAATGAGATCGAGCATGATTACGAGCCAGAACTGAGCGATCCCATACCAGAGTTGGAGGACAACGATATGGACACTAATGAGCTCGAGAAACAATTGATCTGGCAGGAGGCACTCGATGAGCCTCTCTTTTAGGCCAGCTTGTGATAATATTTTACATGTGCTTAATTATTTATTTATTTACCAATTAACCTATTTAAATATTACATTTAATCTGAATTACAATTAAATAGTTTGAATACATTAAAAATGTTTATTTATTTTTTTATTTATCGGCTAAATTGTTTCCGCTCATAATTTGGACACAGTCGGTTCAAAATGAAGCAGTAATCGTTTGAATAATGAAATTTTAATTTTTAATTTCAGACAACAAATTCAAGAAATTCTTCAAAGCCTTTCTTATATAATCCTTCAAATGATTCATCCAGGAATCACTGAGGAGGGGAGGGATATATATTTATAGGCAATTTTTGATAAACTATTCTTTAAAAATAACCATATCCAAAAATCCTTCAATCAATCTTTAATGATAATTTTAAAACCCGAATTCAATTAAAAAATGTCAAGAGGTCAAACCATGCAAAATAAAATGCCAACAATCTTGAAAATGGATTTCGTTTCGAACAAGTTATGACTGTTTAAAATGTAGAAGGGCACTTATGAGCAATATGTGTCAAAATTGTAATAAACTTCAATTCATATTTAAATTTTCAACAAATTTACACATATTAACAGACAAATTAAGCGCCTTAAAATGTACCTTGAGTTGGCGACTTATTTGAATCAAAATGGAACTTAAAGGTTCTTTTTTTTTAAGAACAAAATTTGCCGAAAATTCGTAAGGGGAAGTATATAAAATATTGTTGGGAAAATGTCCAATATATGTTATTATAAAAAAATTCGCGAATACTGAATACGAAATTAAGCTAGATATCAAACCATGAACAAGATGTCTTCAATCATGCAAATCGACTCAGTTTGGAGTTTTCGAAAGTTGAGGTCTAGAAAGGCAGGAGGAGGTCTACATAGGTTTTCTAAAAGTCTTGAAAATGCTTAAAGATAAAGATATATAGAGAAATAATTTTGGGATATTCAGTGAGAGAACAAAAAATTATCTTTCATCTGATATCCGAAATTTTATTTACACGTGACTTAAAGTTCGATGGAGAATCAATTAAGAGGTTAGCCTAAATATCTTCAATCATGCAAATCGACTCAACTTGGTGGATTATTGGGTCGATTACCGAAAAGTGTTAAAAATGTTAAAAAGCAATAAAAAATAGGGGTGGAAAATCAAGTGGGAGCACAAAGAATGACCCTCACTCGGAAATCGGCATAGTTTGCTTAGGTAGCTTTCCGGAAATTAAAAAAAAAAATGTTTTATTTACATGTGAATTTGAATTCAATGCAGAATCAATTTATAGGTCGAGACCAGGCTGTAATCAACTCGGAAACCGGTTGAATTTTAGCAAATTAATTTGTTAATTAATATTAATTGAAAACTCTGCAAAGCTGGATGGTTGAATATAGTTCGCCGGCTGGGCGGATTAGTTTTATGAGTTTAGTTCTATTATCAGCGTGCGAAGCCCAAGTTTAACCCGCAGTTGTGCAGACTCTAGAGTGTGTTGGGGCGTGACCTTGAGCCAGAACCGAAACCTTGACTCCTTATCAACGACAGCTTAAACTGGGGGCAGCTCATTGCCTATGCAGCTCTCGAGGTCGGGCCAAATGAATTTAATAGAATTAGCATTAGAGACAGCCTGCAAAGCGTTCCAGACTCTCGCAATGTTCAAATCTCGGGTGTGCATAATTCTTGCGCTGCTCTTGTGGCTGCAGCTGGTCAGGAACAGCTCGTCGCAGCTAGAGATGAACCGATTTCTGCCGGAGCTGTGCGTCTTTGCCGAGCCGACCTGCCCCAATACGCGCATCAGCTTCTGGCTGTACACCAAGTGAGTAGCTTCGGATGCACGTGCTCCAGTTTTGCTTTTATGTATGTTATATATATACCCAGAGCCACGCGAGATATGCCCATTCAATTGGATCCGCTGAATCCGGCCGCGGAACTGTTTAAGCCACGTTTACCGCTGAAAATCCTCATACACGGCTTTGTGGGCAATCGCAACCAGACGCCCAATCTGGAGGTGCGGGATGTGCTGCTGCAAACGCAGCCGGTGCACGTCATCTCGGTGGACTATGGCAGCCTGGTGCGCTGGCCCTGCTACTATCCCTGGGCGGTGAGCAATGCGCCCGTGGTGTCAAAATGCCTGGCACAGTTCATTGACAGTCTTTTGGCCGCCGGCATCTATCGACGCGAGCAGCTGCATTTGATTGGCTTCAGTCTGGGCGCCCAGGTGGCGGGCATGACGGCCAACTATGTGCGAGAGCCTCTGTCACGCATTACAGGCCTGGATCCGGCCGGGCCCGGCTTCATGAACAACTGGCCACACGACAGGCTCGATCGCAGCGATGCGGACTTTGTGGATGTCATACACACAGACCCATTCTTCTTCTCCATGCTGCCCGCCATGGGACATGCCGATTTCTATCCGAATCTCGACCAGTTCCGTCAGCGCGGCTGCACCTACGTCAACGAATGGCGCTTCTACAACTGCAATCACTTTCGCGCCGCCGTCTACTACGGCGAGTCCATTGTCAGCCAACGCGGTTTCTGGGCGCAGCAGTGCGGCGGCTGGATGCATTACTTCACCCAGCGCTGTGCCCTCTACTCGGATATGCCCAACACACAAATGGGCTACTTTGTCTCGGAGAAGTATGTTTCCATTCGAATCTTCGTACTTTTTACCTAACTCCATCTGTTTGCAGCGCCTCTGGCTCCTATTTTCTGAGCACTAATGCTGAACCTCCCTTTGCCAAGGGACCGCTCATCGATGTGGTCATTGAAGTGGCGGAGCTTTGAGTGGCTCCTAACTGATCAATACTCCCAACTGGATGAACTTTTTCTGCTTTAGTTGTTAAGCATTTGTGATTTATTTATTTATGATTAGCTTTTTTCGATTCCTATTCAAATACTATCACATCTGGCGCTCACCAAAGGTAACATATATAATTATATTTCTGATATGAATGTCACGATTTATCTTTATTTTTTTGCTTGCACTTGACTTACATGAAAATTAAGAAAAGCCTCAAATCACTAACATCCTCAGCTGTGCGAGATTTCTTGATATCACAACTTTTACATAGTTCCATTCAGTTGATAGTTTTTTCAATTTTTTCAAAATTGAGAAGAGCTCCAATAACCGAAAATAAAACCATAGCAAAGCTTTTTCAGTAACAGAGCGAGCTTTTATTATGCGCTGCTCCAAAAACTTTTCGGCTAAACGAAAACCGAAACTGAAACCCAAAACGAAAGACTTAAGGCACGAACTCGTGCATCAGTTGCTCGCCAGCGCGCAAACAAAGCGCACGTCTCAAGCTCCAAATTCGGCTAAAATAAAAAACGTTATATTGTGGCACGTGCGCACGCCTACCGCCCGTGAAAGCCAAGATCAAGTGTTGCACAAATAGTTGCCGTCATTGTTGTCGTTGTTATTGTTGTTGCTGCCGTTCGGTTGTGGTCGGCTTTGGGCGTTTCGCGCGTGCCTGCTAATTTAAACATACTCGTAGCATCCGGCATTATGCCCCGACAGCGTCGTCCATTGGAGTTTGAAAACGAGAGTGTGCTTCGCCGAGTCCAATGACCAGCTGCAGTCGCCGCAGCAGCCGCCGGTGCATGCCTGTAAACCAAAACAAAACAAAGCAGCAAAAGTGCCGCGAATTGCATTTTGTTTATATGTTAATTCAAATGCCTGAGCCTTGACCCACAGAGGCAAAGTTTTCAGACAGCATCAAAAATTTCACAAATATACGGCAATTTCTTATCGAATATATTATACAATAGCAATTGACCCACATCGAATTGAGGCGTGTGCGTGTGCGTGTGTGTTAAATATTTACTTAGCGTCAATTATACAAAAATGTTGTTGAACTGTGCGCGGCAAAAACAGCGACAATTTCGAAGCATCGTCTCAACATTTTGGCAGCTGCTGTGCCTGCTGCTCAGCTTTGTGGATCTTGCCGGTTTGTTGGGGGTCTCTTTAGTTTTTATTTTGTATTTTTGGTTTTTTTTTTTTTTTGGGCACAGTACTAAAAAGAAATCAGTGTTTAAGCTAAACTTTTACTTTCGCCCTGGCTGCTTGGCACCTTTACGAGCATTGATTATTGGTTTTTGGGCATGCCTCGATGCTTTTTGGCTTTCATCTGATTCCGCGTAGTCATCGCGTTGTCTAACGCCGCTTTAGTTGTGGGCCTTTTTAATATTTCTCGGCAGTTTTTTCAGTTTCTGTTGACGTTTTTAATTTGCACGCATTTAATTGCACAACCTCCATATTTTATGCCCTTTCCATTGGCGACCTTGCTTCATATTCAGCAAACAACATTTTGAAATGGATTTTTATTAATCGTTCGCCCATTGAACAACTTTAAGGTTGATGCTCTCCACAGCACGTACTCGGACAGCCGCAGGAACAACAATAATATATATCACAGCGAACAACAATGAGCAACTACTTGTAACTATTTATAAACTACTTATTTGTTTGGACAACAATGAAAAGCCTCTTGTCTGTGCTGGGTTTGAAGCGCAGCCAGCTCTTCAAATTGAGCACACTGTCCACAGTTTGTTTTAAATTACAAATCTGGTGAGAAACAAGAAAATAAAACTGTTGGAAATATTTAAGAAAAATGAAATACATTTGCTTGCACGATCAATGTGCCATACATTATCAATTTCGTTGAAATTTATATTAATAGAAGGAATACCCTTAAGCAACTATATGATTGCATACAGAAATATAAATTTTAGAGCAACAATAAAATAGCAATAAAAAAGAATTTAAGCTTAAAAGTGAAAAACATTTTAAAAAAATATTTTAATATATTGATAATGAACTAAGCATAATAATTTTTAAGAATGTTGTGAGCCATATTTTGGTGATATTTTGGATACTTTTTGAATGTCAGCTCGCACAGCTCGAACCACTGTACCATGGTTCACTTGGCCAAAAGTTAATGTCTCTTTTACCATGTTGTTGTTGTCGTTGTTGTTGTTTCTCCTACTGCTTGGGACGGCCTGTACGAATTTGTTACGCATATTTTTGGCTCATCCACAATGAAAGAGAGAGAAAAAATGTGCCTCATCATTGGACGGTAGTTGCCGTGTCGGTCGGTTGTCAACTGTCTTGTTTTTGTTGGCCCAGTTAATTAATCGGCTGACTGCTGCCACTTAACTAACTGAAGCTACCGTTCAACTGCAATCTAAGCAGCTCACATAAATAAAAATAAATATATATATACATTTATATCATAGCTCATATTTAACATTTAGTAGTATGTGGCTCATAATGCGGGGCGCCTGCACCTTGACACCCTTCGCTGCAGCATTTCGCAATAATTGCTGCTCAAGATTATTAAGCGTGCCATTTGCCTATTGTTATTTTTATGATTAACATTGTTGTTGTTGTTGGGGGTATTCCACTGTCAAAGGTGCCATCAAACGTGTATTTATCATTGCTTGCTTGTTCTGACCGTGCGCCCGGCTAATGGGGAGTATGCGCATTGCAAAAGTGCGTGTCATGGCAGCCCCGAAGGCAGCCGACGGCCAAAGTCAAGTACTGACTGTTCATTTGCGGTTGACTTTAATTAAAGTGAAGCAGATTTTATAGGCAGGTTAGACTGTGCGACTGTGAGTGAGAATTTACTAGAGCTTAACTTCAACTCTGCTCGACCTAAGCATAATTTATTGGTGATTTAGTCTGTTGATTATTCATAATTGAAGCGCATTGGTCAGGAATTTTTATTACCTTAGGCATGTGGCATAGTTTTGCAACAAACATAAATTATTAAATTGTTTTTAATTACAACTTGGTTAGCCTTCGCTCAACCAGTTGGCAGCCGAAATTTTATTGAAGGAAACTGTGCCACAATTTGCTTCATTCTAATTACACTGTGCTGCAAGTACTCTAAACAAGGTAATAATTCCACACTAATGGTTGGCAAATATTATATAGTTTTTAGTTTTGTTCAACTTTTCAATATTCAAAAGTTATTAAGATAAAGGGAACAGCCTCTGTTATATATTTTGTTAAATATATTTTTCTATTTAAAATCTATCTAATAAATGTTAATGAATGCATTTTAATAGTCTCTTTGGTCAGAATGTGTAGTGTTAACAAATTTTAAAGTATGCTCCATTCATCAAACAACTTTTTATATAAATTGTCTTATTTTTTAAACCGCAATTTATTTTATTTATTTCCTGGTTAAGTTTAAACTAAATGCAAATTGATTTTCAAAGCCTCTGGTAAAGCTCACTACAAATACGTGAGATTATGCAATTATCTCGAAGGCCCCATAAAATTCGATATTGGTATCGAGCCATCTGCTGGCCAACAAACTCAATAAAAAGAAAACCACAAGAAACAGTGCAAATGATTCATGGCAAACAATTTGAACAACTGGAAAACCGCAGCATAAAAACCTATAAAACCCATTAAAAGGAAAATTATAAAATTTATAAGCAAAACAAAGAGAGAGCGGAAAAGGGAGACAGAGAGAGACAGACATACAGAGAGGGAGAGAGACAGAGAGAGAAACAATAAGAAGCTTAAATACCCTTGTGGAAACACACACGCTCTATGTGAGTTTAGTGAAGATAACTTGAGGAACAAAAATATTTTTCAATAAAACTTCAATTTACGAACGATACTTCCAATAACGCTATTAATATTAGTTTGATATAGTATATAGTATATAGCAGATATTGTTATGGTATTATAGAGTATACTAAAATGAATAAATTCGAGTTGGGTAAAGCTATTTCTAGAGCCTACCTTTTGGCCAACCCTTCCCATAGCAACTAGAACCAAAACCGGACGACTCCGATACATGTATCTTCTGCAATAAAAAAAATATGAAAAAAACATGTCTGTGCATTGTTTAGTGGCCATATCCATCAGATTGAGAAACTAATTCACAACACAGACAGACAGATGCAGACGGATAAAGCTATATCCACAGCCACGGCTGTTTTTACGGTTCAGGAATTATATATATGTCTACAACATCAGTCTAATTATTACAAATTTGATGATATAATTAAAATACCCTCTATAAGCGTATACGAATAAAAGTAAGTCCGAAACATCTTTCACTTGCGCGCAAACACGAAGCGCCAGATGATGAGCATATCTCAAGTGCTGTTGTTACAGTTGTTGTTGTTGTTGTTGCAGTTGTTGTTAGTGCTGCATTTATTGTTGTATGTTTGTTGTTATTACTCTGCCGTTGGCCGCTTGTGTCTTCCGCATTTGGCGCTTCCGTTTTTGGGGTTTCTGGAACTATTTGGCCAGCGCTTCGATTTGAATTTTTATTTGACTTTTCCGGCGTGCGGCTAGTCATTGAATGTACTTCACGATTTCAACACCAGCTTTTCCCCCAAAATAAAAACCCACCAAAAAAAGACATATAATTGGCATTCGTAATGCTGCCACCGGAGTCCAAGTACGCGTCCATGTCGTAGTCGCAGTCGCAGCCAACTTACATAAGCCAAAAAAAAAAAAAAGATGAAGCAAACGGTTGGCGGCCCACGAAGCAGCGCAGCGATTGTGAAAAAAAGAAAACCGGGCAGAAAACAGAAAACTCGTCGCAATTGAGGCAGAAACACGGCTCGGCCCATTGCTAATTGCAATGCGAGGGAGCCAAAAGGCCGGCCCGTCAGAGCTGGTCAACATAAGACGCATTTGCTAACTGAATTATGCTGGTCTCCCCGGTCGCAATGGCTTTTCGGATTGTGCAAAACGATCGCATCATGCATGCATAAGTTGGCAAATGACAAATAAGAGTGGCCCAGTCGGGTGTGTCCAGCTGTAAGGCACACTGTGCACAGTGCTGAGCTGCGGAACGCCTGAATAACCAATCTGTGGCTTAAGCTGCTATCGATATATATCGATTTCGTGGCAGTTATCGATTATTTGCGAGCTTGCATTCCAAATTTGAAGTCCACAACTGTCACAGTCCATCGATGCGATCGGCTGGCAGTACAATCGATTAGATATGCTTGTTAGGCAGTTCGGTATCGATATCGATTTTGCTAATTCATCGAAAATTTGTAAATAAAACTTGCCCTGCGCGGCCTTACAAATACAAACGTTCCAAACTTGAAGTCTCATATAGTCGGACAGTCTAATCTATAAGATTTACTTAACAAAAAGTTTATTGAAATCGAATTTTATCAAGGCCAGTTATCGATTATTAATTTGCCATAGAAGAAATAACTTGCCAAATTCAAAGTCCTTCGTTTTTAAAGGCTTGCAATCATCATTAACAATCATTCGGAAAGATACTTTATGCACTCAAATATGTGTAGAGTGTATTAAAACATTGTGGCAACTTGTCATAAGGAGAGATGTTTGCCAGCACCAAAGACGGACCAACTGAACCAACTAGTTGCCGCCTGTTCACTGTGCCATGAGGTGAGCCGTTTATTAATGCCGGATGCCCTAAAAGGCGCAGGCTACGATCACTGATCACTGATCACTGATTAGTGATCAGTGTGAAGCGTAGCTGCAACCGCAACTGCAACAGTTGCAGACCGGTTGCATTGCAACATCAGGCAGCTGGTTTAGCATCTGAGCTGCTAACAAGTGGGCCAATTGGCTAGCCAGTTGATTAACTGAAGGCCGATTCTTTACGATTTTTATTTTTTTTTATTTTTAATAAGTTCATAAAAATTCAAAGCGCAACGTAATATTGTACGCGTGAGACTCAGTGTTTGGCTGTCAGTTAGCACTGGCTGTTGCCTGGCCTTTAAGTAGTTCCGTAGCTTGTTCATTTGGTTCTCCATCCAAATCCAAAGTATTGCTATAAATCGAAAATATTAAAAAATTCCATTCATTGAACTTATATTCCTTATATAGTCAGTGATAAATTGTAATTCAAATCAAATCAATCCGTCTGTAATAATTGCAGGCCACTTATTTTTTCAAATTTTGTTCAAACATAAACTGGTTCCAAAATTTAGGACACATAATTTTACAAAAACTGGTTCCAAGAATTCAAAAAATTGGTTTTTAGCGTTAACTGGTTCCAATAACTAACTTTAAACTTTTTGACTTTTTGCACAATTGAATATTAGAAAATAAATACTTTAAATATATACATTTAAATACTTTTATATTTTTCTAATTAGTCTTGGATATAAGTTCAGATTTGGAGACTGAGACTTTTTCTGCCCAAAAAGTTTTTTCGAGGTGTACAGAAAATGATTTAAAAACTGGATTATTTTTAACAGAAAAATGTTCAATTTGAACAGAATAGTTGTAAGCATAAGCCCTTATAATTAGTGCATGAAACAATTTCAAATAATTCACGGTCTTAATTCACTCGAACTGGTTCTTTCTGTGAACGGAAATGCGCACATCTTTGCTTTCAGTTGAGGCAGCTGTTCAGATGAGCTCATCAAATATGGGTTTTCCTTATGGTTGTTGCCATGAATCACACAAGCAGCGTCCAGTTATGTCACGTCACGGTGTTTGTGTTATAAATAGCAACAACTTGCAACAACAACAACAACTATCAACTAACAAAAACAACAACAAGTAAACGAGTGCTTGTTGCGCGAGGCAAAACTTCCGTTTCGGGGCGCTTTTGGCTGACTTTTACTTTTGCCACAATTGAAGAAATGTTGCAGCCACAGCCAGAGGCGGCACAAGTTGCCAGCAATTGTGCTTGCAAATGTGGCAATTGCAGTTTCATGACATTTGCCTTTGCCGCAAATCGGCAACATTCAATGTCGCCACCAGGCGGCAGCTTATGTAATTCCAGCTTGATTCCATGGCTGGCCAAACTCGTTTGGCCTAAGCGTCAGAGCCGGAGGTGGACTGGCAGTTGGGGCTGTCGTGTTGGAGGCGTTTGTCATAGTCCAAAGCCATGCTATATACATTTAAATTTCATCCATTTTGCAGCTGGACAAAACGCGGCTGCTGTGGCCGCTGCCGTTGCCGCGGGTCAAAATCAATCGCAGGTCTACATAACCGATTCTTGCCTGGAGAAGCCCTATCGCTGCCCGCATCCCAAGATCCAGTTCTATTTGTATACGCGTCGCACACAGGAACAGCCCGAATATCTGGACGTGCTGGATCCCAATGCACTCTACTATACGCACTTCAATCCACGCCATCCCACCAAGATCATCATCCATGGCTTTGGCGGCGGACGTGAGCTCAGTCCCAGTCCGGATCTGCGCGAGGCGTACTTCACCATTGGCGAGTACAACATCATCATTGTGGACTACAGCAATGCGGTGAAGGAGCCGTGCCTCAGTCAAATGGAGTGGTCACCTCGCTTTGGCAGCCTCTGCATCTCCCAGCTGGTCAAGTATCTGGCACGGCATCCACGCGGCGTTCAGCCGGATGATCTGCACTTTATTGGCTACAGCGTGGGTGCGCATATTGCGGGCCTCGTGGCCAACTATTTAAAACCCGAGGAGGGCAAGATCGGACGCATTACGGCACTTGATCCCACCATATTCTTCTATGCGGGCGCGAATAACTCACGCGACTTGGACACCAGCGATGCGCATTTTGTGGACGTGCTGCATACAGGCGCCGGCATACTTGGCCAGTGGCATTCCAGTGGCCATGCGGACTTCTATGTCAATGGAGGCACCAGACAACCGGCGTGTGTAGGCTCAGCCACGTTGTTTCGTAAGTCAAATTAAAGTTGAATAAGCTTAAACTAAAATAAACTAAATGAATGTTAAAGAAACTCGATTATTATATTGGATTTGCACTCCAAATAAATTACGATATATTTACGTATGACAAAGAGTGATATTTATCGATTAGGAACAAGGAAAATATCGATTGCTTGAAATTAAAAATAACTAGATTTTAAACAGTCGGAAGGTGACATGTATTTATAAAGAAAGCGGAAAATCGATATTTATCGCTTGGGTATAATCGAAATATCGATTGCGTGGAATCAACATATCGTTGGCGATAGAATCAAGCTATAACTATCGATTTTAAATAAATAAGTGAATTGTATTTATTAAGAACTGAGAATAGTTAAAACAAAGCTATAAAATCAAGGTGGTAGCAAGCCGGCTTAAGCCGCTGAAACTCAAGCAACCAAGTTCTCAAAATATCATGCGAACCGAAATATAAAGTTTTCCAGAAAAGTTAAGTTTAAAATAAAAATTAAAAAAAACATTTCACAGCAATTGGGCCTCAATCATTGGCTTTATCTAACCATAAGTGGTAGATGCCAATGTTGGCTAGAGAACAAATTTGGCCAGCATCATGTATATGAAAATACCTAAGGATTACGATATTTTCAGTACAACGGGCAAATTAAAAACAAAGTTGATGGAGTAAAATATTTTAATTAAAATATAGATCCAAGTTTAAACAAAAAAAATGCCTTCCTGCTTGTGGAATTCCAGTTGATTTGCAGCGTTTGATATATGATATATAAAAGATAGTTCGAAATTGCGGAATCTGAGGAATATCCTTTTTGTTAGGCGCTTATTAATAACTTTTTTTAACCACTATAGAAACCTTGGCCTGCGATCACACAAAGGTCACGCCGTACTTTATCGAATCGATAACAACAAAGCGCGGCTTCTATGCGGGACCCTGTCCCAACCTATTTACCTATCTGATAGGCTGGTGCGAGCCCAAGGATTCGGATTATGTGCTCATGGGCGAGCACTGTTCGCATAAGTAAGCATAAATGAATCTATAATATCATATTTTCAAGTATAAAACAATATATGCAAACTATTTCAAAACAGGGCACGTGGCAACTACTATGTAACTACGAATGCGAAGGCGCCCTTTGCCAGAGGATTTCCGGGCAAGGGGCGCTCCAACGGCGAGTACCAGGGCGTACGGCGTTAATGGACTAGACGACTTGAATATAATTAAGTTCAGTTTTATGCTGTAGCACTCATGTGATTTTAGTTGTTGTTTCCTAATTACGTACTTGTATTTATTTCATTTGTTTTTGCTTAGTTTTTATTTGCCGCCATCGTCGTTGAGGGGTCGCAAAGCCGGCTCCAATTGTCCGCGTCTTGTACAAATCTAAATCTAATCATTAAGTTGTAAGTCCGACGCTCTGCTGGAATTTTAAATAAAACTATAGTATAAAAAATACAAACATAAATCGAATTAATAAACAAATGGCATTTCTTTTTTTTTTTGGCATAATTTGTTAACATTTTCATTTTATTGAATTCCAAATACATTTGTTTAGGTATAATTTGTTAAGCCTTTATATCGTACTCGTATATTGTGGTTCGTATAGTCGGGTTACAAGATGGGGTCTATGAATCAATTTTCGTATAACAGTATTGGTGTTAAATCAAGTCCAATTTTTTGTGCAACTCAAATGCTATTGATTAATTTGTTTACTTTTAATTTTTATTAATTGATTTATAGTAGCCATAATGTTTGCTGTTGTTTTTTTGGTTGGATATCAGCATATATTATAATATATTTTGAATACCTTTTTTATACTAGATCATAAAATTATACAACATGGGCGGGTGTTGCCAGAAAAGGGAGCTTGCATTTTGTTATTTATTATTATTTATATATATGTTATATATATATATTTTTTAATTTTATACATTTAATAATTATGGAACAAAACACACGAAAAACACAAAGAAATTGGCTTGAAATTTCAATGAAAATATATATATATATACATAGCAGGAATAAATGGAATAAACTCTTCAAAACGTTCAAAAAGTGTTATTTATATTTTTATCTATTTTGAAAAGAGTATTTCCAACTTTTATTCTCCTAGTACATTTTACATTCATATGATTTAGAGTTAAGATTTGTTTGTGTATGTGCTATTTGTGCGTCTAAATATATCTGACAATTGATGAGTGTATTCATAGAGCTCCTAAGTTATTACTATAAATGGAATTTATTTACTGACGTATTCATGTTGAAGTACCCTAGTTATAACCGGTTCATGTTTAATGCGCATTTAATGGGCTTTAAATGATATTCATTGCAATTGTGCTCTTCGTTTTTTGCCAGTTTATGGTTTTGTTTTTAACTATTTAAATATGTTATTTTTTATGTACACTTAAATTACTCACAAAAGCATTTAATGATGGCATTTAGCTATGTTTGCATTCATATGTACAGACTGTCCGGTCAAATGTTCAACTGTTTCGTAATTATATGCATATTTATGTATGTAACTATGGCTTTAGCTAGAGTTTTAAATGTTTATTTAGTTTAAAACAAAAAACACTGTGGCTTTCCGTTAACATATTTGTTATTATTGTCCACACAGCCTTGAGAGCTTCGGTCTCTCTCAATAAATAATTAGAATCATATATGGAAATAATACAATTCAAATTTTATATAGTTAGATAAGTTAGCTAATGACAATTGAGAGCCTCGGTTATGTTCATCTCTCCTGTCACGAACTCTTTTAACTTTTAAAGACACACATACGTATATTTATAATTATATATATATGTATTCAATAATAACTACATATAGTTCTGAGCATTTCTTTTAATAGTTGATGCCTTTTATATACAGACTTTAATTGAATAATGCTAATATTACACATACGCCCCAATGGCCAAAATTTTGTTATTTGCTGCAATTTCAGTAGAAAAGCATCAAAATTTTGCCTGAATTTAAAATCAATGAAAATTCTAAATATTTAAATAATAGTATATGTTTTTATATATAAATAACAAAGCTTATTTAACTAGGTATTGTCGCTTTCACAAGCAGTTTTTGTTGTTGTTCTTGTTTTTATCAGATTAATTTCATTAATTAATTGTGCAAACACAAGTTGGTATTCTTTAGTATATATACTATATATCATAGTCATTAGCCGATGTTTAGCTGAGCTGACTAATCAACACGCATAATTATACAATAACATTTAAAATCTATTATTATTTAAGTACGCTCTAGATAATTATTAAATATGTATGTATAATTATTAAATATGTATTTATATAATATATTCGCTGCTCTGTACAAATTACTGTATAAGAATTGACTCTTTTAGTTAGAAAATTTTCACATTTTATTAATACATAGTGATTTAATTGTGAATAATTTGATTAATATTAAAATTTTTATAGAATACTCGTTACTAAGTTCTTTTTCTGTTGTTATATAATACATTTAATACGATTATTGGTGATGTCTACGAAGTAAGTGCGTCTATATAATAGAAAATTATATTAAAAACAAAAGGCGAAACAAAGGGAGTGCATATAAAAGATAAATCGTATCAAAAATAAATGATAAAACTAAGAGAGTGCATTTAAGATAAGTGTAAAGGAAATATTTGTAAGGTGCATTGCATAATAAGCATAAAGTTAATGAAACAACAATAATGTGCAGTAAATCTATAAAGTGCGCTGAATAAAATTCAAAGTAAAAAGGACTTAAATCATAATTAAGTATGAATGCTATCATATTTTAAATTTGTGCTATTTTGTGCTATTCTATGTACAGTGAAATGATTTGTTCTTCGTCTTTTAATATGCATACATAAAGAGTGAGAAATAAAATAAATATTTTCGTTAAATATTATTAACAAAAAGTGTCTGCTGAGCTAAACTTAGAAAATAAAGTTTAGATTTATATGAATACAAAATATAAATATTTGTATTATTTAATAATAATATTCATAACATTTAATAATACAAATATTTATATTTTTTATTTATATAAATTTAAATTTAACTTAAATGAATTAAAATTAATATAATTATATTTAATAATAATATTATTATTTTATTTTTAATAATAAATTAAAATGTGCATTAATTTTGAAGAAAGTGCAGCAAAAACATAAAATTATTTAGAAAATACTTTAAATAATACAAACAAAAGAAGTTTAATAAAAATAATATTCAAATAATTCAAATGAATAAGTACATTAATTACAAAACTATATTTATTACAAAAGAAAACGTATATTAATTGAAGACCCAGCAGATTTTTTTATAGATATTCTTGTTCTCTACGTTATATAAGAAAATGTTAGAGTAAAATATTTAGGATGAATCGAAGAGCATATGAAGACCAATTCTGAGGTTATTGGCGTCTAATGCTAGCTACTATCAGACTAAGCTAGTATATGTTTTAGTACCTATATCATGCCATGTTCAAGTCCTGGTGAACCAACGTGCAAATACAAAAGCATATATATATGTATGTGTATATATAAGAGTTCTGACAACATAACGAACTAAAAAACCATAACTATATGTATATCTGATTAATAGTGGTTATATAATGCATAAGTATTTGTTTATATGGGTTTTAGAGTTTATCATTCGTGCCGAACATCAACAATTGCTTATTGTTTAGAATTGTTTAGTTTAAAATTTACTAATGCTTAGATTTAAATGACATTTAGAACCGGGTGTTTATCATACAGAGAAGAATATCATCAACGGTAATACAACTTGCAGTTTTCACATTCATTTTCATTTTCTGTTTTTCTTTAGCTACTTGCATAGTTAACAACAATAATTCGCTATATATTATAGTATATGTAGCTATAAAGTGACTATATAATATATGGTTTTAAATTATTTATAATAATATTTCAATAACGGTTTGAGACGTGCTGTGTTTTTGTCTGGATTATGTCTGTTTATGATATACACAAATGTCAAATATTATTTTATTTAATTTTTCGATTTGTTCATTAATATGCTGGAGCTTGTAAATAGAAATTTCGCGGAAGCGATGCTTAAAAGTAGGCTATATATTTGATTTTGTTTTCTATTTATACCCTGACCCCATTGAAAATTAGACACGAGTTTTCGAGATCTGCTTTCATCTTCTCGATAAATACTGATTTCGAAGTATAGCCTACTTAGGCACTACTCGAAAATTATAAGAACTAGATACACCAGATACATAGATACATACATATAGTGTACGCAGATTAAGAATATTTTAATTTTTAGATACCTCCCCTATTTTATCAGAATTGAGGAAAACTAATTTTTACAGGGTATACACACACTATTTTGTGCCACATTGAAGCCCTGAAAATTGCATTTGGATCAGACTTTAAGTCCCAAAGTTAAACAAGGAAGCATTTGCTATGCATAGAGAGAGAAATCAGTTAAAATATCTGCAACGGCAGCTCGTCGTGGGTTCAGGGTATCTCCCAGTCGTGCCCTTCCGACTATGGCACTATTCTTTATTATTTTATTTCTTGTGATTTGTGTGCGGCGCCAAGTTAAACGATATCTTTCGTGTTCTGTATACGCGTACAATATGTAGTTGCTCTGTTAGGTACATAGTTTCATTGTGTTAGTGTCGTGAGAGTTTTGTTTGGTTTCGTTTTTTGGTTTTTTTATGTAGAAATTCGTTAGACTCGGGTCTGAAGTTGCTGAACAGTTAATGGTCTTGCAGTTAAATATATCGCGTATAGTATCTTATATACAAATCAACCCCATCAGGAACAAACAATAAACGGCTTTTTGGACTAGAACTAAAAGCTAAGTTATATCAGATTGCGGCATTGATTCTTACTGCTGCTGATAGGCCGGCTGCTCGTAGGGATTCGTCGAGGGCGGTATTTGCCCTTGCGTGTAGTCGTAGGCATTGTCCACATACGGCGGCTGGGCGGGCTCCTCGGCAATGGGTGCAGACGCTGCCAATGCAAATGGATTGTTGGCCACGTGCCCGGTGGCGCCATAGCTAATGGCATTCGATTGCTGCATTTGGCTCTGCTCCGTATACTCCGGTGCGCCCTGAAAACATAGGGGGGTTAGATTGTGTCACCAAAGTGCCTTAGCCCTGGCGTGTTGCCCGACTTACAAATTGTGTCTCCTTCATGTATGTGCCCAGCATGCCCGCCTGGCTGGGATCATCGTGTGTGATGGCGCCCGCTGGAGGTGCCCACACCTGCTGCTCCTCAGGTGGCGGCTCGGCCCAAGGCTGCAGCTCGCCGGAGGCAAAAATGCCATAGAAAGTGCAGCCAATCAGATGAACACAGGCGGCCAGTGTAAACACTGTAGTCCAGCAGCCAGTCGGCTGTAATCAGAGCAAACAGCTTGGGTAACTCGGTAGCTGAACCAAGAGCTGAGCAAATCTCAACTTACATTCGCTTGGATGAGCCCGTCCAGCGCATAGGGCACTATGATGCCAGCCAAGGTGCCAATGCCATTGGATAAGCCCATCAGGATGCTCGCGTATCGAGGCGCAATATCCAAATGGTTCACATTGTAGCCGGAGATGGCAAAGCCGCTGAAGGCGACGCCGCAGGTTAGCGCAAACATGGCGCCCGTCTACAAGAAGGACTAGCTGTATATATCGCCGGACCACTCACCAGCCTCACTGCCCAATACTCACCGCCGTGGAGGAATGCGCGACAAACAGAAAGAATAGACCTTCCATGCCAAATCCGCCGCAGTTGAAGAGCTTGCGCACATTCGTCGTGGAGAGTATGCCATTTTTGCGCAAATGATCCGCCAGCATGCCGCCAAAGGGCACGATTGTGGTCATTATCAAATGGGGCAACGAGCCCACAAAGCCCGCCTCCTCCACCTTAAAGCCAAACTTGTGCTTGAGGAACGATGACTGAAACAGCACCAGCAAATAAAAGTTCCAGGAGCGGCAAAAATTTGCCACTATAATCGCATAGACGGGCATGGAGCGCAGCATTTGGCGCCACGGAGTTGTCTTGAACGACGGCATTGTCGGATGCGCTGATTCGCCCAGCGATTTCTCAATATACTTCAGTTCGGGTATGCTAATGGCGGGATGCTTGCGCGGATTCTCAAAGCACAACCAGATCCAGAACAGGTACCAAATGATGCCAAATGCGCCATACGCATAGAAGGGCGCCTGATAGCCAACGGCATCGGCCAACAGCCCGGACAGCGGCAGACCCACCACGACGCCCGCATACGAGCCGGAGAAGGCCAATGTGGCCAGGCGGGAGCGCTCCATGGGTGGCGCCCAGAAGCGCCAAATGCCGTGACAAGCTGGATATGTTACGCCCTGTGGATGGAGAGAAGCAGTTGCTCAAAATGATTGCCAAGCCAAGCTGGCACACACACACACACTGGTACACACATACACTCGCACACACGCAAACGCACACAAAGAAATCGCATTAAAATAAATGCTTTTGTTATTTTCGTTTTCTTTTTTTTTGGGTGCCCAACCCCCGGCTTAGGACATGTTTTCATTTCACATATTTGCTTTATCATAAAGCAAAATCCTTCCACTTACCCGCCACACCCACCCCCGGCACAGACAACGCCCCGCCCCCAATGAATAGTCATGTAATCCTTAGCTTTGATCTGTCGCCGGGTTGGCGAAAAATTCGAAATCGAAATCGAATTTGATTTGGAATTTAGATGTTTTTTTTTTCTTGTATACTTACCTCAAAGAGTCCCTGCAGCACGCGCACACATATGACCACATGACCGTGCATCAGAGTCATCGCGAAGGGCACAAACAGATGCAGCGAGGCGGAGCTTACAATCGAGAGCCCGAAAATCTTGTTCGCCGGAAACTTGGATGCAATAAAACCGCCGGGTATTTGTGTAACCAGATAGCCCCAGAAGAAGGATGAGTCCACATGGCTTTCCACAGCAACCGTCCAGTTCATAAAGACGGTCTAACGAGAGGGGGAGAGAGACCGTGTCAAAGAGATTGAATCGGAGAGAGAGAGAGAGAGAGAGCAAGAGGCTGAGGCTAAGCAGCCGAGCCTTAGAGGAAGAGTCACAATCATTAAAATTTGTGCCGCGGGCCTTTATTAACGAGCGCCAAGCGGAAGCTTGGCGTGTATGTGTGTGTGTATGCTTGGCGGTATGTGAGTGGGCGTGGCTATATGTGTGACTTTTGAGTGATGTGAAAACGCACACACACACACACACACACACACATACACTCTAATTGACAACAGCTTTGCCATCAAATGAAGCAAATTTAATCCCAAACTCCACTCATGTCTTTTATGTCTCTTTAGATGGTATTATAACATTTTATTTTTCAGCTATTCGCTTGGAGAACAACATGGAAAATTGAATTCAATAAAATATCTTTAGGATGTTCAAAAATAAAACATGGCCAATAAATCAAGCAATGATTTTTTGAATTTTTATAACTTTAGTAATACGCTTGGAATAATGCGAGAAAAGTATTCCATACAAAAAGTAACTGTTCGTTGACTTTTGCCATAGAGCTTTATGATTTTATTTCAGGGTATAGGGATCCGCTGTTGATAAGAGCTTGTCAGCTTTATAATATAGTGGTTCGATGCTACAGAATTTCAGACCTATGCAATGTTTCCAAAGAAGAAGTTGTGAAGACCTAATTAGAATGCCCTCTGCAAGAGTATTATATATTCCATATTTCGTCTGAACAGTTTCGTCTGTCAGTTGAGCTTCTTTCAGCAAGTATTGGCTGCTTACCCCATTGTGCTCGCCTTTAAGTTTGGCGGCTGACATGTTGCAACGCATGCCGAAGGCAATCATGAATCCCACGCAGGCCATTGTAGCGATGGTGTACCGTGCCGGCATGCAGGGGCATTCCGCCTTGCAGTACTTGTCGATTTTGCGCAGCGGCGGCCTTTCGATCTCCTCGAAGGAGGCGGGCGAGTCTGGTCGATCGTCGTCGTCGTCATAGGCGTGTCCGCCGCCGGGGCCGCGTCCCTCGCGCTCGCCACCCTCCATTTCCTCATAGCCGCCGTGTCCGCCATGGTAGCTCTGCGATATCTCGAACTTCTCCATATTCGGCTTGAGGCTGCAAAAATGGTAAGGAGAATACAGAGGGCATAACTCATGCCAATTAGTTGACAGCTGCAGCAAACTGGGGCAGCAACAGGTGAGAAGGCGTGAGAAAGGGAGAGAGGCATTTGGTCAGGGGGAAGAGCGTGTAAAGCAGAAATATTTTCAGCTTGTTAGAGTAAGAAAACCCTCCGCCTCAGCGCCCTGCTGGACCGCTGCTGCCTGTTGTTTTCCCAGCGGCATTTGCGGCTTTTTTGGGGGTTGGCATCGAGTCATCCAATTGAAATAGAATTCAATTTTATTAAGTGCCGATAGACCGGGGGGACATTTCAAGTCGATTTGGCTGCCAGGTAGCGATTTTTTAACGTCTCTCGATTTGATTTCTCTTGATTTATAAATCAGATTGTGGCTTAAAGCTCGCCATTTAACAGCGTTTACCGCACTGACAAAGGCTGATTGATGACAGCCTGTGTATTTTGGCTTAATGTATGGCAATGTGGCGGGAGCATCGACAAAGGCCGCATTAACCCTGCCTAAGTGACACATCAGCATTGATAACCTCATCAGCGGCTGCGTTAACAACTCCCTTCGGCTCTGTCTCTGTCTCTGGCATTTCTCCTCATAAATATCCAGACATACGCCTGGCCTCCGCCCCAAAACAAACTAGTAAGAAGCCACTAGCAAGAAAAAAATGCCACTACTGTAGAACGGAGCCACATCCGAACTTCCCAGCGTCGTCTTCGCCGTCGCCGTTTGTCACATAACTCAAATGTCTGCCGGCAAAGCTACCCTCGTCTGGTCACGCAGCTTCCTTGTAGTCCTTGCGCCTTGACCGACTTTAATGCCGGCTCGTCTGACGCCAATTTTATGCGCTATTTATGGCCACTCGCATACATTTATGCGTTGTGAACATTGGAACTTTGTGGCAATGTTTGTCAGCCATTGAAAAGACACAGCGATAGCTATTGGCAAGGATACTGCTATGCACTCGGGTAATAATCTGTTTTTTAAAACAAAAGCTTTTTCTTAGCTTGAAAAAAAGTATTTCTATTTCTATTTGCCCTGACTAACTGATTGATGATAAATGTGAAGCCCATTAGAGCTAAGAAATTGCATATTTTACAATAGTTGTCTTAACTGATTTTAATGCACAAGCCGAATTTTTAGAATTCCACCCGCAATTGTGAAAAATTGGTGGAAAACACTTACATGCTATTTTAAACTAACATCCAATCCGCTTCAAACTCATTTTCAAAGTAGCGTTTCCTACATTTCGCCAAATCCACCTACCAGAGTGGAAATTGGCGTCCAAGTTTGTGTGGATCAAAGTTGTAAGTTCCGTCCGATCGGCTTTAAGCTAATTTAAAAGACCCTACATATAGACCTCTTAAATAAGTTTTTAACGCTTTTCTGTATTTCCCCTATAACTGTGAAACATGTGTGGAAAACAGAAAAATATTGACTACGCAAAGTCTGGCAATTTCATATAAGAGTTCACCCAATATTTAGGATACATTTTTTTTTACAGCTTGATAATAAATACAAAATTGGAAAGCGCATATCAAATTCGTGCTAAGAAAAACATCAGTTGTGTTTGACTCTCTGTTTTCTTTTTATATTTTTCGCCGCCTTGATAAACTATTGCGCAAGTTTTTCAGCCACTTGTTTGGCGCGTTTGATTGTCAGTAAAAATTTTGCAGACTTTCGGGCGCCGCATAGATTATGGCTAACTGGCGCCGCCAAGTCAGTTGAAGTCAGTTGTGGAAGCTGGCAGTTGGCATGAAGGTTGCTTTAACTTGGCCACAATGGCGCGCCCATTAGGCGGGCATTTAGCTAGAAAACGGGGCCAAATGTTTGACTTGGCGGCTTGTCAGCGTCACGAGAGTGCGACTCCTTCGAGTTGACTCAACTCGACAATTCTAATTTCATTTACAACAAAGGAGCTGGCGCTGAGAGGCGGCAGCTTGTCCTTGAAGTTGCACACGCATCTGGAATTTCTTCGCGACGCGCTCTTCGAGTGCCACTCAACTTCAGCTACAGATCCTGTGTGTGGTTGGCATCCTGGCAACCACATTGAATGGCTCGTAAAAATCAATTTCATTTGCGTGCAGCCTTTTGAATTTCAAGCAGCCCCTGCCTGCTGCCGCTGTCTCTTGCCTGTTGGTATGCAATACACTCTTTTTTTTTTTGCCAATGCTTCACACATTCCTTAATGAAAGCGAACCACAATGGCAGCTCACCTATTGTTCCAATTTCTAATTTTCGCCCCGAAAAGTCCTTGAGAAATCAGTTGTACAACTTCACTCGCATTGAGTCCTGTGTCGCGTGAGGGCGTGCTCATAAAATTGCATACCAGAAATATTCACACACATCTTGCTCCTGTGCTGGCCCAATATGACTCTCATGACTCTTTATTGTGCTGTTTGCGCCAGCAACTAGCACTTGATGTGTTTGCCACAGCAGCTGCCTCGGGAGCTGGCGCCGGCTTCCGTTTGAGCACGTGCCGCAGATGGCAACGTGCACGGAATTCCTGAGCCAACGGTGGGCATCCTGAATGTCTCGGCATACCGTTACGTTTATTCCCACCATAACTGACGGGCAGACTGACTGACTGACTAATGCACAGACTTACTGATTGACCGATTGATTGAATGACTGACTGAACAAAGTTGTGCGCGAGTTCTTCAACCTTTTAGTCCCACTAATTTTATAACTTTGAGACGCCTTATCATAACTGGGGACTGACTGGTGGACAGAATAACTGACTGACGGAATGACGGATTGATTGACGTCGTAACTTTCTCATCTGCTTGGGGCATGTTGAATGACGTGTTTGCTGGAGACCAAATAAACTGATCTAAAGACTGATTGAATTGATTGAATTACTGACCATCTTTTTGTTTGTCTGACTGGCCGAACAACTGACTGAGTGATTGACTGACTGATTGACTGACTGATTGACTGACTGACTGACCGGCTGACTAATTGACTAACTAACCGACCGACTGACTATCCGACTAATTGACTGACCGGCTGACTGACTGAGAGATTGACTGACTGATTGACTGACTGACAGACCGGCTGACTGATTGACTGACCGACTAGCTGATTGACTGCCAAATTGACTAACTCACCGAATAATTGACTGACCGGTTGACTGACTGAGAGATTGACTGAGTGACTGAAGAACTGACTGACTCATACTGCGCGCAACTTCTGCAACTTTTTGCGGCGCCTTTAATGACTTGTTAAGCATGCCAATCATTTTACAAATTTGCGACGCGGCACAACGCGCGACAGCGACACGTGCCCAACTTTCGCGACGCCTGCAAATCTCTCCCACTCCTTTCTCTCTACCTCTCTCTCTCTATAACTAAGTACTTGGGCATATTTCCTCCTACTCTTCGCTTCCATGACGAGTTCATCCTTTGCATGGTCAAGTTCAACCAACCACGCAGATTGGTGTGAGTCAAACCTGATCAACGTTGCGTTAAATTAAATTTTTTTTTATTCATTTCATTTCAGTTTTTTGATAAGCTATTTGATTGCATTCATATTTCAGTCTCGGCATATTGCGCAGTCATCATTTGACACTGTGCAACAAACTTTAAAAATTCAGACTCGAAAATGAGAAAAAGTCACAAAGTCGGAAGGAGAAATAAAGAAGAACTTGCCACAAAGTAGAAATAACTCCCAACCGTTTATCCAACCATATTTGGTGGATGACAATTTAAGTAACTGATCCAATTTAGCCCGCAAATTGCATATGAAAATATACACGACATGCAATATTTTCAGTACAACGGGCAATTATATATTAAGAACCTTATTGTTTTCTATAAATTTTCAAGCCGAGCCCGAAGTCCCTGCCTAGAGCTGCTTCAAGCCGTAAACCCAACAAGCGATAATATTTATATATTTTTTTACTAGCAGCAATAATCCCATATAATATATCTTGTTATTTCGGCTTTTTAATGATCAAAAATTCTGTTGGACAGTGTAAAATCATGGTATACGATTCGTTCGGCTGACTACTCACCCGCTGAAAACGCCCGTCGCCTTCTCCTTAAACGCCGTCAAGCCCTTCATGATGCGGCTGGTTGATGGACTTTTTGTTTTTGTTCACTGGCTGCTCTCACTTATTCTTGTTGTTGTTGTTGTTGCTCTTGTTATCGTTTGTGCGCATAAATATTTTGTTGCCTACTTCACGGCGGCTGAGCGCTGTACTTTTGGGCGTGTCTAATCAGCAGGCGGCCAATTTTGCAGCAGTCAACAACAAATTTTATAACTCAATTTTGGTTGGTTCGTTCTGGCTCTGGCTGAGTGGGCGGAGGCTTCAGTGGGCCGCCATTCAACTGTTGTTGTTGTTGCTATTCGTTGTTATTGTTGTTGCAGCCGAAAGGTGTTGCATTTTTACAGTGCCTGCCAAAAAGATATGCAACATAATTAATGTATTTTTTGTGTGTGGGCTCGTGTTTTGCTGCTGATAAGCGAATCCTACAAAAAGCCTCATAATTTGCCACATTCGTAGTCTTATTTGTTGCTTTTTTAGTTGCAAATGTTGCCAGGACGTTTCTTAAGCCGATTATGTTCATAAATTTGCCTGGTAGCTGATAGTCGAGTGGAATTGAGACTAGCAATTGGTTTCCCTTGGGGTGGTTTAGGTGGGGCAGAGTAGTAAATTATTTGCTAAATATTCAGGTTACAAAAAAGTGTGGCTGCCAGATTTGGATATGTCTTTCCGGGAGGGCTCTATGTTAAGACTTTTTTTTCAGTTTTTCAATTTAGAAAATTTTAGTATGTTACTATTAATTATTCAGGCACACTTTAAATAAATCTTTTTAAATGCACACCAAAAATTTGTTAAATTAAGATATTAAAAAATTTTAGAAAAAAAAATAAATTTTAAATTTTAGGAAAATTGTTTTTTGTTTGAATATGGAACTTTCCCGATTAGAAGATTAGAAATATTATTTATTCCTCCATTTATCAAGGAATGGAATAACAGAGAAGAATATTATAAATTCAATTTATAACGAAAATAATATTCAATACTAAAATATAAAATAATAGCTATCTTCCTTTAACATCAAGCATTTTCCCCTTATAAAATGCTTTTAGAAAGACTTTGTAATTTCTTGTTAACAATTCCATTTGAATAATTCTACAAAATATCTGTTATATAAACCTTTGCCTTTTCTCTATAGCAATTGCTTTTATATAGTTCTAAGAATATCCGAAATATCATGAGTATAGTTCCCTCTCGACATAAATATGGAAAAATCAATAGCTATCTATATGCAATAGTCACATACAACATTTGACCTTTCGTTGTTCTCCGGTTCTCACTTACATTGCTCGCAAGTATTGCGTAATCCATTCTGGCGCTGTTCTCGATTATGTAATCGCTTCACGTAATCCCAAACCAGTTATCGTTATATTTTATAGTTATATTTTGTTTTAGTTATTTGTTTAATGTAATTTAATAATTATGCAACAAAATTTCAATATTTTAAAATAACTTTTGTTTGGTTATGATATCACAAATAAGGTACACAGATTATAGATATATATATATTTATATATATATATATATTTAGACGTAGCTCAAATCGCATTTAACATAACACGTTACGCTGCAAAAAGAACAAGAGATGCGAATTTTAACAGAACGTGTTAGGATTAGACACAAATTTTAAGTTATGTAAATGATTTTTTTTAGGTTAGGTTAGTTTTATAGAGTTTCTAACGTTTTCTAAGCAACACACGCCCGCCAAAAAAAAAATAGAAATTTAAAATCAATTTTTTAATTAGAAATTAAAAGTTAGGCTCTTTCTAGAGCCGGCGCGACAGAATTCAGACAGAGTTGAGGACAAGCCCGGCGGCAATCTCCGACAGCAACGATGACGACGACGACGACGACGACGCGGATGCGGATGGTGTTGACGATCCGCGTTCAACTCTGTCTGAAGACTGTGCGCCAGTCAGGCGCGAACATGGACCACGCGAGGATCAGACAATGCCCGAAACTCAGGTGGCGCGGCCAGAATGCGACAGTTGCAACATGGGGCAAGTACATAAGCAGCTGTCTCCGTCGCATGTGGCAAGGCAACCAGAAGCTGGAAGCTATGTATATATATTAAGTGGGGGCGGGGGACTGTTGTATGTGGTTGCTACTTGGTATATACACTGGAAATTTTCGACTACTGGAACTGGAAGGCGTACGCGTGTTCATTTCCCAAAGAGTTTTACGAGAATTCCAACACGATTTTTCAGCTGATTTTCGAAAGCACAAAGTTAGTATTAACTAATTGTTATTTAAGCAAAATATATGCGACTATATATAAATACATATATATGGATAAATATAGATATATATATAGATATAGCCACTATATTGGCACACTCACTGGCACTAACGCTGCGGCGCTGGCTTGGCCTCAGCAGGACAACGCACGAAGTGAAACTAACGGCACAGGCATGTGCCCTTCTTGTCTGGCCAGCCAGCGGATGCCCTGGTCCAGATTATGCTCCGGCAGCATAATCAACAAAGGCCGTCCCGCTCGCACACACACGCAACACACGCCGCGACAGCACGAGTGTGGTGAAAAGCTTCAAAGGAGCAGCTGCGCAGGCTCAGCCTTGAGGCTGTGCAGGAATTTCAGCGTAGCGCAGCATTGGCCAAGGGTTGATTGGCAACAGTAGCAAACCGTATGAGCGCCCCCCCTTTGGAGTGGGGGCAAACCACCTGGCCGGCGTGCACCAATCAGCGTGCACCTCCAGCCATGCTCTATACATATGTATATAAGCTTGGAGCAAGTGGCGCTTGGGGAATGGCAATGCCAATGTTGCTGGCTGGCATGCCAACAATGTGAATCTCAGCGGTGCATAAAATGCTATTAACATGTTGCCACGCCATGCAGCATTGTTTTGTTACCATATATATGGTTATTATGGCCATTTCTCCTGGCTGGCTGGCTGGCTGGCTGGTATGTACACACACATACATATATAGCGCAAATGTCAGCCATTTTGAATATTTACATTGTTTGCTCTCAATCGCTTTTCCATCTTTCCCGCTTGGTTTGAGTGGTGCGTGGTTGGCGCTCGATTTCCACGATTTATGATGCACAATACAATAATGTCTATTGGCCAGAAATCGCATTCAATTTGTTATTGATTGCGCGAATTGAATGGTCCAAGTCCAGTTTCAGTTTAAATAAACGAGAGAGCGGCTACGTTCCATCAGGCTATTTGAAATATTGCAGTTTGTCGTGCTTGTTCCGCCATGAAAATGAATTAATTCTAGCTTATCATAATAAATGGCTGCTTTTTTGAATTACTGCAAGGAAAACTGTGTCAATTTAGTGAAGGACAATAAATTATATTGCCATTAGGTTGATATTTTGTGAAAACAATTAATTATTGTCAAATCAATCCAATTATCCTTTTAAATTTTTAATCCTACTAATCAGTAATTAGGCAGCATGACAATTGGTGTAACTGCTTAACAAAATTTACGAATTTCACCAACTCCATTTAAAAATATGTAGATAAATAATATTTTAATATCATTTTTTCGAAGTAAAATAATATTAAAATATTATAACTTAAACTATTTTCTGTAATTTATTAATTTCTTTTTTGTTAATTTTTACAAATATATTATTATTAAAATAGTTTGGTCGTATAAACACATAATCTTGTTAAAAACAATTTATATTTTATTTTACAATATTTTATTTTTAATTAGTTAACCAATAATTAAACTTTAAAAAACAAACTTAGCCATTTTTTTAATGCTTGATGGATCTGTAAATGTCTTGAAGCTATGTGAGTATATGCTGAGTTTAATGAAAATATCGTTTGTCATATAAGAACCTACTTTTCGCCCGATTTTTCCCATGGCAGTTATATCATAAGTAACTTTTAGCATATACATATATGAGAATTATAGTGGAACTAAAAAGTCCTGAAATCAAGTTATCTTTATAAAAAAAAGTGGCTTCGATACCAGAACCTATCTTTCGACCGATCGTTCCTATGGCAGCTATATAGATGTCCGACTCAGTCGGTTCCGACATATATATGTGCTGGCTGCAACAGAAAAAAGGGCCTATGCTAAATTTAAAGAAGATATCCTTAAAACACCTCAGGACAGACGAATACGGCTATATCAACTCGGCTGTTGATGCTGATATAGATTATATATACTTTTTCGGGTCGTAGATGTTATAAAAAAGTAAATATGGCCACTCATTGTTATAAATGCATTATACTTAACAGCATTTATAATTAACTCAAATTATATCGGCTAGTTCTATATCTATACATGAAAGTGCGCATAGTTACGCACACGACATCCGTAGAATCTCAAAGTTCTAATAAAAGTATCCACTAATCATAGCCAACACTCAGAGCAACTGCCTCATTTCCCATAGCAAAAGCAACCAATTCATAATCCATAAAGCCCAATGGCTCTTAGAATTCTCCATCCAAGTACTTTGCTGTATCTCCTCCTGCTCCCCCTGGTCCTGAGCAGCTGCCCTGGCGAAGTTGCTAATACGACGCATGGGCCTAACCCTCATAAGCGTAGAGCAAACAGACAAACAGTTGCAACTCAGCCAAAAGCTATAATAAAGTTGCGGATGTAAATAGCAACAATAACAACAACAACGAGAACAGCAACAAGCAGGGAAAAACTGGGAAATGAAATGAAAATCAACAAAACAGCAGTCATAGCCGCAAAGGATTTTCACAAGGTTTTTTTTCCATGTGCCATACGCAAAAGGATACATGACAAGGCGAAGCCAACAGGAAGTGAGAGCCGCCCAGACAGTCGGGCAGACAGAAAACATTCAGAGACTATGTGGCGTCTACAACAACAAGCCAACAATATTCAGCTATGATATTAAATTTCCAGATTTTTCGGCAGTAAATGTCCATGTGTGTGTGTGTGTGTGTGTGCATACGCTTCCGTTTTACTATTTAAACAAAGCGATTAAGGGTGCGCATCCTGCGCCTAAAAGCAGCCAACAGAAATCACATTGATTGACATAAATGAAGAATAATCGAATTGCGCTCATAAAACTCCAAACTAAGTGCCAGCCCAAGCGGCGGCTCAAGTGTCATTCTATCTAGCAAGGCACAGTGGGCTTGACATTTTCTCTATCTCACATTTAACATCAACATTGTTAAAATTTTAAAAATTATTAAATACCATTCCGAAAATATGTTTTTAATTCTATAAAACTGTTGTCGGTTTACTATTAGGCCGTAGTCCTTAATCCATTCTCTAGAAATATTGATAGTCTTAAATATAATATCTCATTTTGGAATGTTCTCTTTATTTAAGCGAAAATTTAGAACAAATCTGAAAATATTATAAAATGTTGTTTTGATATTCTAAATTTTTATCAAGGGAATATTATAAATATATTTTAAAAATAAAAGCAAACTTTTCATAAAATTCTGCTAAAAGAATACACGAATACAGGGGACACCCGGGTTTGAACCGGGGACCTCTCGATCTGCAGTCGAATGCTCTACCACTGAGCTATATCCCCACATATCTAACACGCAACTGTTGCTAAACTTGCATTTTCTTTAAATACACACCACTGTGCAGCCCTCTAAATTGTAGGCGTGGGCTTTTTACCCAGCCTCATAAATTGTGCGAAAAAAGTGTCAAACTTGAGTTGACAGGCGGAGGACAGGAGTGGATTGGGAAGCGCGGGGGACACAGGCATGATGCGCACGTCAGCGGTAATTAGTGCAGCGGCGCCCAAAAGTCGACTACAATTTCATTGGGCAACAATTTGTTGTTGTTGCTGTTGTTGTTGTTGTTGTTGCTCTTGCACTAATTACAAAATAACTTTTGCAGCCTTTTTCTCTGGCTGCGTTGTCATCTTTGTTGGGATTCCCCGTGGCGTCTATGATGTATGGCTTTTCGGTAGAGGGGGTTAACATTTTGTGGGAGTTTGGCAGCATCCGCTTATGGATTACAGACAGCAAAAGGCTTTCGGTTTTAATTACCAGCCACGAGCGGCTTTAAACTTGTTGTTTCGCCAAATTCAAGCACACACAGAAATATGCTAGAGATTTTGGCAAAAGCGTAAAGTCTGTGTATGGTCATCAGCAGTAGGCACGGACATGGACATGGACATGGACGGCTTGTTGATTTAGCAGATTCATGCTGTCAATCCACACGTCCACCCACTCAATCACAAACTAAACGCTGCGCTCGGCTCGATAAGCGCGTGCCACCGTAAACCGTAAACCGTTGGCCGTAAACCGAAACCGTAACCGAAACCTGCCAACGCGATGGGCCTCTTGTTTGGGGTGTGTCGCCCGAGGAGGGTTGTGGGCATATCTGTGTGGCACGAAAACGATTTCGCTTTCGTCAGCCAGAGATTTAATATTTATTTTTGTTTGTGTGCAAATAGCTGGAAGCGTCACAGATATGAGACGCAGCACGTTTTGGTTGGGTTCCTCAAGCGGATTCAACTTGTTTTGCCTGTTA